ATTCTGTGTAAGCATCTCTTCTTGGCAAGTCATGCCCCTTCTAGGCTTTGTCCTAAATCTCACAAGATTCCACAAAGGCCAGCATGGCTCAGGGTGCTCATGTCTTTCCTTCAGTTTTGTATAGGGAACCATGATAATGAAAGTCTCTTGATGTAATGAATCAGATTGGAATGCATAGCACTGATGGGAGATGAGAGAATTCATTTTCTTCTCTGAACTTATGATTGAAAACATCAGAGATATTCTGCTTGTCCAGAGGATAAGGGATGAAGAAGCACTGGAATGAGTGTTATCCAGAAGAGCAGCTCAATGAGACCAGTTGTGAAGACAGTGTTGGTTTCAGTACCATGTTGTTTACAGAGTGAGAATCTGAATAACCAGAGTTTGGCTAGATTGTATAGGCTTGAATTGGACATGACCATTCCTAGGTGCATGACACTGGTAAGTTCATTTCTTGCATATTAGTTTTATTATCTGCAAAACTTAATAGCATCTGACACATATAGATCTACAGAAAGGATCAAATATATATATATATATATATATATATATATTTGCATAAAACAGTGTCTGATGCACAGCAAAGTGTTTAAATGTCGACTCTTGTTACATACAACGTATGTTGAAGTTCATTGACCATTGGCAGTAACAATTTCATATCATGCTCAGTATCATGAATGAAATTCTATGTAGTTTTATCAGAGTTGCATACTCTAATTATACTGCAAACCCACATTCTTATGCTTTATATTTAAAGGGAAAGCTATGTAGCCAGATAGATGTTTCTATTCTCAGATGGAAGAGTGGTGGTCAGAGTGCCTGCTTAGGAAGTCTCAGTGGGGATCTGGAGGAGGTATTGAGGGATGGAACTAAAGGTAGTTAGCAGAGAGGTCTCATGGTGATGGTTATGGGTCAGTATAGCTTGTTAAATTTGCAAGCAAGTCCCTGGTAATGCTTCCACTGCAGCTGTGGATTATGCCAGCTTTCCTAGTTAGCCAAGAACTGGCACTGCTATGAGTGAAATCAGTCACTATTCCTTTCAAGTCTGCACACACAGTCACAACACATTTGTCAGCTATGTATTTTCCTGTCAAGGAGTTGTTGGGTAGAAAACCACCATAAAAGCATTTTTCTCTGTCAGATAAACTTTTCACAATGGAAGAATGTAGTGAAATAAATCTAGTGGCACTAGGGAGTTTACAAATACTAGCATATTAATATACAGCTAAAATAATAATAAAAAATACCATGCTGCTAAAGATGTTTAGTATTATCAGCTCACTGCAGGAGTTTATTAGAAACTCCTGCTTTCTTTTATTAAAATTTCAATTGGCTTGGTGAATGAGATCCTATGTTAGTGTCATAAAGTGAGAAGCCAGAAGGAAAGGATATTGGCATTTAAGTGCAGATTTCATTTTAAAAACACTTTACATTATAAAAGAAGATTGCATATTGTAAATATTACATATAATGCTGGTGGTGGTAAAAGTAGAGTTAGTAATTTTTAAAAATTCATCAAATTGTCTTTGCTTATGATGATATAAGAAGACTTTAATGTAAAGTTTAAAATTTATCTCAAGGTATTTTTAGTTATTAGCAGCAAACAGGATTTTTAAAAAGTTTTCATAAAATGATGCATAAGTACAATTTAATGGGAATCTTCTCGGGCAGTAGCACAAGACAATTGACAATTGTTTAATCTTATAATTAGCTGATTATCTTCCCTCTGCATTTTGGAAGCTTCTTGCTAAATTAAGTTGGTGTAGTTGGGCAGGCAGACAGATTAGAAATTCTAGTCTTTGGGTGGATGTGTGGGTTGGAAACGTGGAAGTGAATTCCATGCAGCACTTTCTGTGGTACGTACATGATTTCCCTTCTAAGCATTAAGTGGCCGCTGCTTCTCTACCTGGGGAAACACTGGTTTAGAAGCTGGTGGCAGGCAAGGCTCCGAAGTGCAAGAGCTAGGGGGCCAAGATGAAAACTTCGCCTCCCCATCTCAACATCTGGAGTCTTCATGGGAGTGGGGAGTTTGCAGGTTTGCAGCTGCAGCCCTTTCGTGACAAGTTCGGTAAATTTTACACATGGTTGCTTGCTTAGAAAATATTTTCCAGATTTAACATGTTTACAGCCCTGACATTCGAAGCCGAAATCCCTTCCTTCTTGATTAGAGCAGAGAGTACTCACAGACTGCATTTTAACTTTATGGGGATGGGGAACTGGGAATGGGTCATTCATAATTTTCAAACAAATCAAAATGTACTTTGATCTCCAGTCCAAGTTTCTTTAAATGCAATGAGTAATAATAATAAATTAGCCCAACTTGGCTATTTTTTCCTTAAATGTGGGTCATTTTTAACGTAATCATTTTATTGCATTTAAAATCCAACCAACATATTTAATCCATCTTATTCAAAGTATATATTTTCTGAGAAGGAATATTAACTCAGCAAATTATGTAGAGGAGAGAATCTGTGTGTATGTGTATGCCTGCGTGTTTGTATTTTTATAGTCTAAGCAATGTGAGTATATGTATTTATAATAAAGGCAGAATTTATATTTACCAATATTATACAATTGAAATATTTTATTTACAAATCTTTGGGTATACTAAATATAGTCAAAGCAATGCATAGAACATTTTAGCAGTAAGAGACTTTCAAAACAGATATGGTGCTCCTGAATTATCTAGTATTTAAAATCTTTAATTTAAAATTTATTTTAACAGATTAATTTTACATTGATAATATCAATTCTGCTTAACACTGGTTTTGATCATAACTTAAATAAGAAGAAAAATAATTGCTTTCTAAGCATATAATCTTTTTTTTTCACCCTAAACACTCAGTTGACTGTCAGAATGCCCTTAGGTTGTTAACAGGCATGTAAGAGGCATTCATAAAATGTGAAGTTTTTTACCATCCTCCTCTTTACGAATGCTGTCTTGTTGCTTTTAACTGGATTTACCAGAGCCCACATACACAATCCTGAGTATCATCTTTAATATTATTCCCAATATTGAATAATAATATTCCTCCTTCATGTGTTAAAATAGATTAGGGTGCACACCACATGAAAAAGCCTTTCGTGTGATATTTTAAGTGCAAAATGGCAATCATCTGTGCCCCTCAAAGAAAATAAAACAAAGCAAAGCGTAACAATCTATGTTACCATTGTGAAAAAATGAATTGGGTATATAGCAGTAGTATGTCTAAAACCCAGGAAGGAGGACAGCTATTAGTTCTTTTGTGTGCCAAGTTTATTTCACTTTCTTTTCACCCAATAAGTAAATGCTAGATATTTGCTCTAACATTCAACTCAGTTTAGGAGTGACTTATAAGAGCAACCAAATGATTTGTATTGATTTCATTCTTTATGTTTGTAAAATGATATTTTAGCAAGTGTTTTTGAAAGAATAAGGTATTTCACAGATCATATCTATTTGTGATTAATTGTAGAGTCAAATATTTTAATTTTAACTGGGAGAAAGACAAGAACAAATAAAAAAAGATGAAGACCCATAATGAAGCATAGTAAAATAATCTAAGTGAATCATTTTATTAAAATGGTTAGCTCACTATAAATAAAGAGCCATAAAAAATACAATTTGTATATTCTGTTACAAAAAGCCTCACTCTAGGAAGCCAACTAGTAAAATTTTATGTGGGGGAGAAAACAGCGTGTTCCCCTACGGAGAATGTGCATATCTGCTGTTTCTTTTTAACAAAGATTGAGATGCTTATAAAGAACTTAGTAAAGACTTCCAAAAATAAAACCTTCTCCACAGTCCTTCGCCCTGTTCACTATACATACTGTGTTTGTGAGGACTTGATTTTTCCCCCGTTCATGCTGCATTGTCAGGATTCTAATTTAAACTGCTTGTCAGTGTTTCATGGCACTGTCTAACCCTTTCCTTCTGGGCATCTCTCTTTGAAATGAAGCCGAACTCTTTCTCACACCTGACACAAACAAGTGTACCTACTTGATCATTTAATTGTAATTGGCCAAGCTTAAAAAAAGAAAAAGAGCAGTAAGTTCAGAAGGGAAAAATGCGTGGGACACAACCAGCTGCAAGACTGAAAACCCTCGGCAGAGATGCAAATGATATTTTATTATTTGTAACAGCTGCCGCTTAGCTTCAGACACTTTTTTTCCTGCAGATTTTTCCTGAGTAACTTCATACTTGTACTGTATACCCTTTCATGCTTTCCCTTGGCGGCCAAAGCTCTCTTGGCCATTTACCTTGCTCCAGGTAATTTGGGGAGATACTACAGACTTGTATCATTACAAAGTCTCTAGCGTTGTTTGGCTGCTAATTTATTCTCAAAGGAAGCAGAATGATGCTGTCACCGTAATGCGGCATTAAGAATTCTTCCATTTAAGCGTGCTTATTTTAGTGAAATTAAAACTGCTCGTGGAACGAACGCTGGGCTAGAAGAAAAAGAGCCTTAAAGAAAAGGTTACAATAAATATTGCCTTTACCGGTCAAAAGGAAAATGTACAAGTTTTGGGGGCTGAGGTGCTTTTTTCATGTCTTGATGTTTTCCTATTTCTCTAACTTGACATTCTTGATATCGTGTCATGATAAAAATTAAACCTGTATTCTTTAGCCCACGGTTTAAGTGGACTCGTATTGTGTAATCAGAATCTCAGAGGACAGCAAAAAACAACACTCGTTTTAGAAATGATTTCACCTTCCTTAAACCTTTACCAGGCAATCCTGTTTTGAGTGCTGGATTGGATGGAACTTTCACATAGAAGCATCCTTACTTTAAAAAACAGAGCATGATGTGGAGTTTTTAAAGGAGCATTATTCCTATGAATGGGTTTACAGCAGTACAACAACATTGCAAGACAAGCTAAGCCATAAAAAGGATTTAGTGACGCTGTATAATACTGATTAAGTAACAGAGCAATACATGCAAGTTGTGAGAATAGCCGGGGATTCCAAGTGTTCTGAAACAACACAGTAATAAAAGTTTACTTTCCCTGCAGACCCAGCTTCTTCCTCTCTAACATGGGATCCTCTCTAACAATATTCAAACAGCAGTTCTTCTGCAGTCAAATTCTACCTGTGTTAAAAGCAGTCAACAACCAAAACTGTCTTTAGGTTGTCCTGAGTTAATAATGCTTCGTGATGTGTAGACAGACCTTTGTTCTGCATCTAGCATGTACCAGGTGAGTAGCCTCAAGTATGGTTCTAAACATTTGTAACTTCTTTGTCAGTAAGATGGGGATAATAAGACCTAAAAAATTGTGTTTTAAAGACTAAAATAGATAATGCGTATATAAAGTGCTCTTTATTCTTCCTTCCTCATTTGAAGCACTAAAAAAATGTTAACTGTTATTAAGGGAAATAATTGCACATACTTTTCCTTCGATGATAAATATATTTTGAGAAATAGAACTACTTTTTTAAAAATCTTACAGAGACCTCCTCATTATTTGTTCTTATTATGATACTAAATTTGGGAGATTCCCCCAAGAGTACTTTATGTTGCTGTGCCCTTTTGAAAGAGCAATGCAAATGTGGCCATTGATTTAGATTGCATGCAATTTAAAATTGGCACAAAGGAGAGTTCAGATAACTACTCTTTTAAAATGTTTTTTGCAGAGAACTTGGTCCATCCGAGTAAGTGATACAGTGTAAGGAGTATTCCAAGACTGAAGTTATCTCACTAGATTCTTTACCTGTAAGCTGCTTACAAGAAAGGTTCAACTAGTTTAATCTTTATGTGAGAAATTAGTTTCAGGTGATAATTTCATCCACATCATTTGAAATACATTTTGTGTGGGTTCTGGAGTGTTAAAAATTCTTGCCTTCATTTCGAAGGTAAGGGAAAAAAATCTTGCAGATTTCACACATGGAATCCATTCCACATTGTTTTCACTAGTTTTTCCAAGACCCCAGGGGAGGGCTCCAACAACAATAGTTTATATCGAGTGCAATTAGAACCATGATGCAGAAGCAAAAATTAGGGCAGATGTTGATATTCCCTAAGAAGTCTGGTTTCCTTATATTTGGACACATCTGATGCAATGCGTTGGGAAGTATTGTTATATGGACAATGTCTTCTCTGTAATACACCAGAAGTGTTTTCAGAAAGGAGAAAGAAAAACAAAACAAAACAAAACAAAACAAAAAAACTCCATTAGTGCATCTTTCAAAAATCTGATTGCAAACTATCTTATTCTATATATAATACGGTAAGGTGATGATTGTGGAATTGCACTCACTATTTTTGAATGTTTAACTTTCAGTCTCTGTGTCACCCTTCCGTGCTGCAGACAAGTATGAATCAGGATGGGGTGCAATGAGGCTGGGCCCAGAACCAACAGGATGATGGATAAGGAGCCTTGAATGATGCTTTGACATCAGATACCGGTGTCACGAATGGCTTAGTGAAAGTGCTTTGTGTATGGCTGGGGCTCCTGTGACTGAGCTGGAGGGAACCTAATAAGAAAAGGGGCCTCATGGAAGCAGACATGGGGGCAGAGGGAGAGTGTCCTCAAGAACGGCAAAGCAGGATAATTTCTGTTAGGAGATGCTAGATGATGCCATGCAGGAAAGATCTGGAAGGGGAGCCAAGGGAAAAGGCAGGCACAGCTCCGGAGCAGTTTCAGGGAAAACTGCTCTCCAGTTTTCCTCCAAACAGAATAGTGGTAGAGGGAGTTACCCCCAGAGGACCACTTCAGCCAAAGAAACAATGAGTTAGGGAGGTGCATTTTATTTTTATTTATTATTACAACACAGACTATAAATTTTAAAACCTATTTGAGTAATTTCCCTGAGGAGGAAATCTGACCCCATTCCTGCAGCTTCCCCACACTCAAAGTGCTAAGTGTGCCACAAAGCTTTCTTTAAAGTTCCAGATCATTCGGCCACTGCCAGGGCTGCGCATCTCCCTGCAAATGCTGGAGCTTATTTAGGAAGGCCAGGGAGTGGCGGGAGGCAGGCAAGGTGGCAGCTGTGGGGCCTGCCCCGCATCCCTGGAGATTTGCTGCAGGTGGAGGGGGAAGAGGAGACAATGACCATTCAGAGACATCCTATTTAAGCAACTGTTTGTTCTACAATAAAAATTACTCTGTGACTCTGAACATGAACTCTCCAAGCGGAGTGTGTGTGTGTGTGTGTGTGTGTGTGTGTGTGTGTGTGTGTGCGCGCGCGCGCGCACACTGTGGGAGGCAATTGGAGACTTTGTTTTAAGCAAATGAATAAATAGGAGCTCCGGGCTTTGTTGTGAGAAGCCAAGGCTTTGTGGAGGGCCTTCCTTACTTCCTCCTGGCTTAATTTGCTTGTCAAGCAACAGCACTGCCCCTGAGGGACTTTGAGGACTGGCAGCTGCAAAAGAGAAAGTGGCTGGCGAATTGGGATGGGTGAGCAAACTCAGAAACCACAGAGAGGAGCTGGGCAGAATGCAGTTGTATGAGGCACTGTCTGAGATGCACGGGAGCACAGCCCTTCTTTTTCTCCTTTGGATTGCACACTTTCAGAAAACTAGGAACAAACAGGACTCACACCGTACCTCAAGTAGAGTGAGTTTGATCTGTGGCAGCCGACTGAAGCTGCAGTTTCCAGACATGGGGGCCCTTAAGGACAGACTCTGTGGAGTCTCCAGAGAGGGGAACTGGAAGCAAGGAGCTGCAGGGTACCCCAGCAGAGCCAGGCCCCCAGGGAGACTCCAGACTGCTGACCCCAGGGACATCAGCCCCAGGAGCTGATCTCTGCGTTGCTCCCAGCACCTGTATGTGTCTGCATGTTGCTAGGGAAGGTTGATATCATAAATCGCAACCTTTGCCGCTGACCTCCTGTCCCCATAATGTGGAGGGTCTTTTAAGGCACACTATTTGCTTATTTTAGAGGAAAGGGTCAGTGAAAAAGCAAATGGGAAGCAAAGAGGGTTTGGGGCATTTTAGCAACAAAAGTGAGGCCAAGACAAATGTGTGGCTTTGCAGATCTTCCACACAGGCAGGATTTCTGTAAGTGTGGTTATAGGAAACAAAAGACAGATGACAGACAGTCCACCCATTTGGCAGCCAGATCGCAGGGAGTGCAGTCTGGCAGCTGAGGTGGGCTGTGGGGGAGCCAAGTCCTCCATCCCGTCTAGGGCTGCCTTTTGGGGCTGCCCACCAGCTCATCCATCTCCGTGCAAGAAAAGCCTAGTAATTAGAAGACTTAGTCTCCGTAGCTCATCTCTTTGAAGCTGAATCCTGGCTCTGCTGTAGACAGACTGGAAATCTTCAGGTTCCTCCTCCAAACTGCTTGCCCCGCTTTGTATTATCTCCTGGCATTTGTCTGCGCTCTGCTTGCATCTAATGTATATTTATTCTCAAGGACTGGGAGCCTCAGCAGGCGACTGAAGTTTAAGTGATGGCACGGCAGCACTGGGGAAGATTCATTATCGGTACATTTCTAGGTTATTTGACGTGGGAGATTTTAAACAGTTTATGTGGTGAGGAAAAGGCAAAGTGACAATGTGGGAACCTCTTATGATTTGCAAAAATGTGCAGTCAACACAAGATTGCTATTTATTAGACAATAAATGTGATGCCAGATTTTTCCAAAGAGCAGCCGGGTAAATAAATACTCGAGGATGGGCCAAGGTCCAAGGACTCACCACAGGTCCTGTCCAAGACTCAAGCCACCTCCTAGCAGCTCTGTTGTTCTAGTTGAGATTTAATCTCTTAGTAGCAATGTTATGAGGCAAAGTTATGATTACGACTCCTTTGAATATGAAAAATAGAAAGAAAACCCTTTTTAATCTTTATTTTTATGGCTGCACACATGATTACATGGAGGAAAATCAATCCCAATGGAGCACAATGGATAATACAAAGTAATTGATTGGCCTTTATCATTTTCCATTATGATATTAAAATAACACACCATCCTATCAAGCGGCAGCCACTGATACATAAAGGAAAACAGGAGTGATTATGTCTAAGGGTAATCAGGTCAGGGAAGTGTGAAGCTAAGACAAATAAGGTAAATAAAAAAATAGGAAAATGTTTAAAGGAAGCAAATGGGTGTTAGTGGCTAGGTGGCGAGATAATAGAAGGGAAATCTGGTGATTGGAGTGTCATTAAACAGTAAACCACGAGAGACAGTCCATTGCAGCAGTGTGATTGCATGTCTCGGTTGGTGTCCCAAACCATGGGGGCAAAAACTGAGTGGCTTGAACTTCTCAGGAAGGGCAATAAGCCTTTCAAAAGATAATGTCTGCAGCCTGGCTGCTATCAGGTTATGAAATTTAGAAAATGAGATGGGGAGGCATTTAGCTATTGGTATTTCCCAGGCTTAGTGCCATCAGTGTGGCATCGCAAGCGGCCATTTAGAAAACCTCCCTTGGCAGCCAGCTTCCCAGACAGCCTGTAGGGCTGCGTCAGATCCCTGAACACTAAGGTCTGTGTCCTGGTGGAAAGTAGCTGAGGAGGCAACTGCCAGACAGAAACTGCATCCATACAATACCGAGGGACATTCTGTGATGGCGCCTATTTTGTCTTTCTGTATATATTTTTTCTCTCCTTAAACATATACTCAGCCGTCCTACTGTATGCATAAATCTTGTATAAAAAGATAGTGAGATTTTAATTCCTAAAAGAATTTTCTTGGTTACCTGTGTGTGCTTTGTGTCAGATTAATAAATGAATACATATAGGAGCCGGATCATGAAAAACATGCAAGATATTTATTTTGATCTCTAGATCACTACATAGCATGCTTCCAACTCAGATTTCTTAGCACAGTGTCATATATTTATGAAGCAACCATTGCAACTAAGCCCGCTGAGACTTAAAGGAAATCGTAAAAGTAGAAAAGTATGTCATGCCTACCAGAGTGATCGGCCCTTTGGATAAGCAGTAGTGAAGAGTTTAGCTTAAGGTGCTGGAATAGATCATTGTTGGCTGGGAGCATTAGCAGACTGGTTAGCTGTGACACCCTCAAGAAGTCTGGGAAGTAGTCGTTTGCCCAGCTAAAGACCTCTGGATATTATAGAATTTGTTTCTAACTTTCCAAGTCTGCAGGGATTAAACTCCTTTGTTAATTTATTCACTTTTTCACTCCATGAACATCAGTCAAATATCTTTCATGGGTGGGTCCAGACCTGCACTTGTTCTGTGGTTACAGAGATGATATCAAGGGCCTTTAAGTATTCAGAATTGTTCAGAGAAACAGA